ATGGCAGGGTAGTGGGTGAGAAGGAGGGCAAAGATGTTAGTTTAAATCGCAATCTTAATGTTTTTTTTTTTTTGCAAAACTCATAACCAATCCTTTCATATTATGCTGAGCTAGACGTCATAACCAATCCTCAGATAGCAGAGAAAGACACTTTTTTTTCTGATACCATCATCAAAGCAAAAAATCATGACCTTTCAATCCTGAGGCGTATTTCAATCAAAACGATGAAAATTTTACCCAATTGAAAAACGATCTCATAAATACTCGTTGCTCTGGTCGTATCAGTTCAACAATATAGGTATAGAAAACCACAAGGATACATGCAACACTTGTGCCGCACACAAATCGCAATGCCGCGAATATCTCCCAAGATGGTGCAAATCCTCAAAGTATCTTTCATTCTTTGTAACACTTCTAAGAGAAACCGCTTACCCGTACTTACTCCAGCAATAATTCCAACAAAAATTCCACAAAATGAAACTGGTCGACGACCAAAATGATCACCAAGATGACCATATATCAGTGTACCAAATAATACTCCCAGAAATTGTATGGTGGCAGCCTAGAAGCCAATTGTAGAACTTTTGGATGTTTGAAATATCCTTGAGGTCTCACCAAAGTGGCATCATAGGCCATATTACAGTAGAGCTCAAATTCTTCTACCATGGAGTGAAAGGGAGCGTCTTCTATGGTGATATTGCTACAGTTCATGAGTTGATCGCATTGTTGCTCTTGAGATAAATTGCATTGAGCCGTAGTGAAGTTGTGGTTGTAATCTGTACATTCGCGTTGTGGTGTGTAATTGTAGAAAATCTGAACATAGAGTGTTAAATACATGAATTATAAGAGATCATTTTCGGGCAAACTAAATCCTAAGCCCTAATAATTTTTTGACGATTTTTTATAGAATTGGTTCCTCCTTTCTCTCGCAATCCCGGATTGCACGAAGGTTGCAGCAATTCTCGGTTTTAATAGATAATTTCAGAGAACATCAGCGTTCAAAACTCAGAAGGATTAGCATTTCTCTGGTCTACCCGATATTAAGTTTATTCAAGCGCATCCAGTGTCCCAAAAGCGTACTATCGGTCAAAAAAAAAACTTATTTCTGATTCTTTTCTAGGCTTTACATTGAAGGCTAGCTTGAATTTAGAAACTACTTCTCTGATTATGGTATGAAGTCTACACAAGTTCAGTGCTGCCATTAAGCGCTTGCTGTTATTTTGATACAAGGTTACGGTATCAAATGATTATAAACTTTAGACTCAGCTTGCTCGAAATGTTATTATACAAGTTTTCACTTTGTTAGAATTCTCTTTGGGCCAATGCTTGTTGTGCATCACCACAGCGTTAAAACCGCATGCAAATTCATACCGTAACCCTACCTTAATGGTAAAATTCGTTTACCAATGGAAGTTCAAATCAAACGTTTTTTAAAACCTAGAAAAGATGTATGAACATGCTGCGTTTTTGTTTTTTCTGTCAACTCATGCGCCTCAATCAAAACACCTCTCCATTCATAGCAAGCCACCCACCGGTGTCGATGTCAAAAGCAGATATAATCTGAATTTTTTCCTTCTGCCCGACTGAACTTAAGAACAAAAATACATGTTGTTCTGCAGTAGCGAAACACTAGCGTGTATCATTTGCTACCGTAAGGTAATTGGTTAAAGTTGCAGTAACTGCTCAACGATATTGCTAAAGCTGCTTACATTATACCGTAATTCTAAGTAATATAGATAATACAAGCCTATTTATTGGAAACTGTGTTCGCGCTTGCCTTTGAAAAAGGATCATCAGTGCCTAGAAGATTTTGAAATAAAGGAATTATCAGCGATAAACAGTGGGTCTTTGGGGCAATCGTTCCTGGCGCCAATGATTTCGCGTATATGAAAGCGGGGGAAGGAATTAAAGAGGTCATAATCTCTGATAAAGGAGTCTTTACGCAAATTTTTTTGATGTAAAGTAAGTAGAAGTCGTAATCAGTTATTTTGAACACTTCCTCTTCAGTTCTGGAAGCTTTGAATAGTGTTCATTTAACTATGTAATTGTGTTAATAGTGGTATCACTCAGCCAGGGAAGCGTTGACGTTAAAGAAAGCATGCTCCTTATATGTCACCCACTCCTGACTTATTACCTCTGCTAAGATTTTTGCTCTAGCTTTGTCAAATTTTCGGAGGTAATTAGTCAACAGTGGGTGACAAAGGAGCATGCCTTCTTTAACGTCAACGTCGAGGTAGGGAAGCGGCTATCAATGTAGCATTTCTGATGAAGTAATTAGAATAGGTTAGTAATAAAATGAATCTCCTGTAACTCGACTGCGTCTTCGTCATAGTGATATTGAAAAAAAAACTCACAAGTTGAGAGAAAGATTAGCCGTTTGTAACACCTTTATATTACACTTTTTTTCTAAGATCTAATGATTTATATCAGAAGGCTAGCTTGAGCTTGAATTTCCACTTACGAATTATTTAATTTCCACAAATTTTAAATGCAACCGTACCATACAGAAAGAGTAGAAGGTCCATTCTTAGGAGCCAATGTAAGTTCAAGCAAGTTCAAGCTATCTCTACAAAATGTCCCACTGTTTAGAAACGACTCGAAAAGAAAAGAGTTACTTGCCAATTATGAGCACATCTTGGGACATTCTGTACTTTTAGCTTTCACATAATTCGTGAAAACTCAGTCATCAGCGCTTTCGATATGACGCGCAAGACACAATCTCTTCTGCTTTTTCAACTTGAAAACCAAGACTGTTTTTCTGCCATCACAGAAACACAAGCGTGAATCGACATTGTTCGCTGAACTTCACAACAGGGCATTGTAGGCCCGGAGACCTCGTGCACCAACGGATGTGCACGTTTAATGGCAAAACTTTGCTTCTAAATTTATGTATTTTGATCATAATAGACGTGTTGCTAAAAGAGGTAATACTATAGTGTAATTTACGGCATGTAAATTTTAGGGATTTTCGCATGTAGAGCTAACTAGAGCTGTAATATAATTTCTCACAAGGGTGATTGAATAATGGGCAGAGCTAAGCTTCGATATTGAATATAAAGCTCAACTCTCCCTGCAAGTTTGCACGATTATGTTTGTATAGTAAAATGAGCGAAGGAATTTACTATGTATTGAAAACTGTCATGCATGATGTCGTTTTAGTTTTATTAATTAAGACCTTTCATCAGGTATTATTTATCTTCTTGCTTCATACCACTTTCATACCTCTTCAAGATAAATTATCTAGAAAAGTATGACAGTGGTATAAAAGTAGCAAAGTAAAGTGATATACCCACCACCTCTCAGAAGAGATCAGCAAAGAGTACGGTACGGCATGTTTTCCTCGAAGTACGTATTACATTAGTTACCTCATAGAAACGAAATTGGAGCAAAGTTAGAAAGTTCACACCCTTTTCCCTCTCCAGTTGTCTCACCCTACTCTTGCTCTCTTCTCCCCGCCCAAAATGTGTTGAATTGAGTGTTTGCATTTATAGATTTCGTATATACACTAGTTTAAAAATAGTTATCTGAAGTCATTTTGGCACGGTTATTA